AATTCAGTCCTAAAATATAATTGGGTAAGACTCGGAGTGATTGCTTATTTATAGGCAGAAAAGCTGGTGGAATTGACATAGTTTTATAACTTATTAATTACAAAAGTTTTCTCTGAAGACTAATCCTTCCTGAAGAAGAGATATAGCAACGCATGATATGATTTAAATACATTTTTAAGTCTTATGTTTTCATATAAACAATTTATAATGCTCTTAGCTGATAGTATCATAAAATTTTGTGTAAGGTAATTTTTTGAAGCGATAAAAGGATTTCAATATGGTTGAGAATATAAAGAAAAACGTCAAAGTTTTATTATCACCAAAACCGTTAAAAAAAATCTGATAGTTAAGGAAATGAACATTTTTTGTCACATTTGAGGTGTAAATTAGTTCCATAAATTTTCCTGGTTTTTACCTTACACTTTGTACACTTCCCAGTATAAGTTAAAAACGAAACATTATTTGTGCATAACTCGAAAATTATGATATGAACCAGATGACTACTTCTAGTAGAAATTAGTTTTAAATAAATCAATAAACGTTAAGTATATTACTTTAACTATATACATCAATTAATCGAAAGTATCACAATTTTGTTCTCCTTATATTTTTGGATTGTCAAGCTGAAAAAAAATATTAAAAACAATTCAAATTGGTTTTCATGAAAACATTTATTTTCTATTTAGGGTCAGTTGTGCTATTGGAGTTCAAGCTTGAACTTGACTTGAACTCCAATTGTACAACTGACCCTTAATAATATAAAAGTAGGACAATTATTTTTCATAGTTTTTCGTCACTCTTCATTATCTTCTTCAATTTTATATATTGAATATAATTTTTATAAATCTTTAGTTTTCAATTGCTTATTTTTCAGCAAATTTTGTTTTCAATCGATGAAAATATTTCTCCCATTTTTTTCCTTTTGTTAATTATCAATTCTTTTCATTATTTATATTTATCCCTTTTGTATTAATACTATGAACAATGAAGGTCATTAATATTCCAAAAATAGAATTTTAAGAACAAATTTTGGATTTAAGTCCTGTTAGACTGTGTCGATCCAAACTGACGTAATATCAGTAGTATAAATCCAATGATGTATTGAGTTTAATCAAAAGCCATTAACGAGAATGTTATAAAAATGTGTACAATTTATGATATAAAGTAACAATTCAGGTGAGTCTATTTTAGCAAAAAAGTTACTGTAAAATTCTAGGAATATATCTGGCTGGAATGCATAATTTAAATCGGGTGTATGCTTTTTATTTTCGAGCTTTGCTGTTCACTTATACACACACACACAGAACTTTTTACAAGATTTGATTATTTGGATTCGGAGGACCTTAAAACATGTATTTCCATTGAAAATTCTGATTCATAATTTTTTATGATGGCAATACTTTCACTTAACCATATATTTCATGCATAGATTAGTGAAATAAAATGTATACGCTAATTTGTTATTTTGGCTCTATGAAATAAGGAGGTCTTTATTACTTTTTAAGGAAGCCACAGATCCAAAAATATAGATTTACCTTTGCCCTCTGCCTTAGGTTATCTCTTGAAATATTACTGGTTCCAGGAGGAAGGAAAATGTTAAATAAATAAATAAATTAATTTTAAAAAAATCCTAAAACTATTATATTTAATAGTTAAAACCATTTTGAATATTTAGTACTATTCAGTATTTATTAATCAAACATACTTAAATAAATGAGTCTTTAATTGACAAAATTATTAATTCTTTGGCATTCTAAGTCTAATCTTTGTCAAAAACTATCATTTTATTGTAGCATGTTATTGATTTTTGGACTAGCAGTTTATTGTTTGGTTTCAATTTTTTTAAAAATTCAATGTGCTTTTTACCATTGTCATTTTTTAATACATAAAAAAGATGAAAATAATTTTACTTCGTGAATAGTAAGGCTATTAAAATTTTAACTTTTCTCTTGGAACCCAAATCAAATTTCATTGAAATTTAGAAGTATTCAATAATTCCTGTACTTAATTTAAAAAAAAAGAAAATGTAATTCTTTTGTTTAAAAACACCAGGCAATGCAAAAATTGCTGCTTACGTAGCTAATTTTTAGTCTTTTTTTTTAGTCATTCAAGGGTCCTTGAAAGTAAAATTTGTGATAAATTGGATTCATGGATTTACTCAAATCTAAAGTTATCAATAAAATCATCTGTTTATTTAGCAATAAAAGTAAGTTACTATTCCTTGAAAAAGTCCCTGTTTCATTAAATTATCTAGATATTGGAGTAGTAATATCATGATTATAGACTGACACAATAAAAGCACACACCTATTTTAACCTTATATTCCGAAAATAGGTTTAAATGACTCCTTCTGATATGTATTGTTTACTAATAATAATTTGATCCTTACTCAACTTTAAGGAGTTAATTCTTTTTGTTTACACAACTGTTTATTATTGTTTACTTATCTTTCCATTTATTATTTTATACTCATATTTACAATTTTTTGCAAGGGATTCAATTTTAAAAATATAAAATTTATTTTTCAACTTTTAGTCAAAATTTGCTATATTCTGGACCACTGTACATATAATAAAAAGGAAAAAGTATTTCTCTTGAAATTTTCAAATACTATTTGGTCTTAATTTTTTTTTAACTAGAATTATTTTGTCTTATCTAATTTTTTATTAATAATAATAAAAAAATATTGATAAATATTTGGTTGTATATTTTGATTGATGCCGTAGTGTTTTGAGGAAATGGATTTACTTATATACATTTATATTCTCCTTTGTACAATTATTGTATGCTGTCTGTTATTCAGAATTTTCTCTCTCTTGCAATTATCTTGCTACCGTTCCCTCTATTACATTCTCCATCCACCCCTTTCTTGGCTGCATTTTTTTTTTCAAAGGATATATTATTCGTCATGACCAAATTGAGGATACCAATGTTGCTGTGTTAAAGTGTTTTCGTTGAAATATTTTTATTGAGGGTTCCTTTGCCATTTATTACCATTTCTATACCTGAACTTTGTGTTCTGAGGAAAATACAATTTTTCCTTTACAGGGATGTATTTGATGAGTTGAAGGGCATATATTCTCTCAGCTGCTTTTGCTACTTTTTAATTTGATTGAAAATTGACCGATAATTTGAAGGATCTTTTTTACTTCTTTTCTTGTGATTGGGTAATGTGCCCTGCCAACTATTCTTCTGGAACTTCTTGTTTCATACTTTGAGTAATAAGGTCTGCTAAGATCTTTAGATAGAATGGTACATTTATTGGAAGGGCGGGGTGTTCGAGCTGGTTAACGTTTGCACAGCCCTGCTTATTGCCTGGTAATCTGATAATCAAAAGTTATGGATAGTTAAATAATTACAAGGTCGCATGCTGGCTCCCAGGGAGCATTTAACTCTGTCATTAATCCCCCGCCCTCACTCCATGTAGCATATAAAGCGAGGAAGAGAGAAAAAATGGTACATTATTGAATCTGGTGATTTTTTTTCATTTCTTATTAAGGCTCTTTCAATTTCTTTATCTGATAATTTGTTTTTTAGCTAATATATACACACACACATATATATGTTCACCTATACCACTGCAACCTGGGAAGTGTCTTGGATTCAGTTCTTTGTTAGGAAGTATTGTTTCTTTGTCAACGGTTGTGCAAAATGATGATTTGAATGAAATCATGTTTACCGCCAAGTTTTCCATCTTTAATGGAATTAATTAGTTAATTAAGGGTAACCAATTTATAGAGGTTGGATGTGTTCTAAGAGGGTTTCCTTATCTCAGGTTTGATCCACGGTTGATGAAGCAGAATGTATAATTACGTGCCATCAGCGAGATTTGAACCCGGGTTTTGAAAGTCATGCTCTTCCCACTGAGCTACTCCGCTTCCATATATATATATATAATATATTTATATTACAGTTTAGTCCTGCTGAAGTATATATTTAATGGTGATATTTATTTGAATTAATGACTGTATGAGTTTTAAGTTTCACTTTAGTTTATGGAGTTTCTATATCTGCTATTCTTCTCTGTATCTTAATATTCTTCCATCTTTAAACTGCTAAAATATAAATAAGAAGAACAAGTGATATTGAAAAATATGGTCAATAGTAAATGTAGGTCAACCAAATAGGGTGAATGGTAGGTTCCTCACCATATCTGTTGTGTGCATGATTTGCCTATATTTCAAGATTAGTAATTTATTATTTTAGAATTAAATCGATTGGGCAAGCCATTTTTGAAATATAGGCTTATTAAAAAATATCATATTTTCACATACATAACCAAGCCTATTTATGAAATCTGTTAAAATTGTTACTTGATTATTTATACATGAGTCCCCGACTTTAAGCCTACTCAAACCAACCTTTTTTTAGGTACAGGGGTATTGACCATATGTAATGTAAAATATATAGGTGGCATTGAATGGTATATTACTAGCTCTAGCTGTTATGTACGTGTTAACACATATATGTAATATGCGTTATAATAAATTCTATTTAAGTTACTCATTTTGGCAAGTTATTTAATCAAAAATCATATCAATTTAAATACTCTGCTATATCAACGGGTATATTAACGACAATACATTTGTGTATATTTATGCAAAGTAGTGAATGGTTCCAAGTAGTTTTCTAATTTTAGTCCAATTTTGAGCTAAATCGAATAATACATTGTTGAAATCTAGGGGTGTTAGAGAAAATACATTTGCACATGTTTAAGAGAAATTAATAGATAGAATTTGATAACATTGGTAAGGGACAAACTAATGCAGGTGCACAATCTGAAAATTTCATCAAAATCGAATAAATGATTTTAGATGTGCTTATCAGATTCTAAACCCAAGTTTTTCCTTCATGCCTATAATGTAATAGAAATTTTCAGGTCTGAGAATATTTTTTTTTATCTTTTTCTGTTTGAATACAATACTTTCCCAACTTTAGTTGTGGGGAAACAATATTCATCACTTTTAACTAATTCTATCTACGATACATTTTCGTTACAGGTATTTAGAGCCAGGACACCTCCCGAAGCAATTGAACTTGTTTCACGATTGCTTGAATATACCCCAAGCTCCCGTATCTCTCCACTTCAGGCTTGTGCTCATGCCTTCTTTGACGAACTTCGAGACCCAACTACTTGTTTGCCGTTGGGTAGGCCGCTTCCTCCTCTCTTCAATTTTACTGAACAAGGTAATTTTATTTCTTATTTTTCCCAAACCTCCTAATGACTCACCTTATGATTAATGTGTTTTATGTTAGTTTTTGTTTCAATAAATATAAACTTTTTTGAAAGATGTTTTTATCATTTTCAAATTGCAAATTTTTAATTAAATATTTTAAGCTGTTAAGAAGATGCTATAGTACAAAAATGCATTTATACTGATTAACGCCAACAACAACTTAAAAAGAATATATTTATAACAAGTTGAATAAATTATTTCAAGAAATATTTGAAGAAATTATTAAAGAAGTGTAGTCAATTGTGATATTAAGTGAATTTTATTTTCGCTATGGTTGACCATAAAATGCATTTATTTCATGAAGTTGGGATGGCATCAATGTCTTAGTATAAACTGTTGGATGGCGGTTATGTGGCCTGCTCAGAAGTCAGTGTTTTGGAAGAGCTCTAAAGACAATTGTCAATAATAAAATTTAAAATGTATAATTAATATAATATTTAATTTATTTTGTCGAACAATAATATCTTTAATTTAAAGTTAAAGAAGGTAGCCAAACATCAGATAATTTATGATCTATATTGCTGAACTTTGAAATAAAATTATACTAAGAATTTTAACGGTGACTACATTTTGAACTATCTTTCCTTCTCCAAACTTTTTCTAATGACTAATTGTGAAAAACCTATTTTACACACTTTATCCTTTTATTTTCTCTGTGAGCTTGGCCCTAATTTGGATCAGATTTCTACCAGTGTTATTGTTTAATGTTAACATGATGGGTGAAAAAATTGACATTGTGGACTCTTATCTGACCTGTTACTGTTTTTATCCACGCAAATGTATAACCAACATTTAAAGAACTCCAATATTTTAGAATAATTGGAAATTTACCTCAAATTTTAAAACTGTCTTAAGGTTTTTATATTGTTTATCTGATTGTTGCACTTAAATCACTAACTTATTTCATTCATTTTAGAAAAAGAATTGAACAAACATCTCTCATATCCTGGAGATTTCAGTTGTTGAACTTCAATGGCACATGAAGGATTTCTAATTGTTTTAAAATAAAACTTAAAACTTTGGACAAATGTTTGTGAATTAAGTAATGAAATAATTTTTTAAATAACTTCTCGGCTGTGGAAATTTGTATATATTTTTATGAAAGTGAAAAAATAAATGCTTATTTCAGCTTATCTTTTTATTTGTTAGTAATCTAATAATTGATTGTGTTTCACACTTGATTACAGGAACTTATCCAGAGTAATACCAATGTTTATGATGTATATGTATAATTAATGGATATTAATGATAGTTAAATGATTCTTGTTGTTAATTGATGTTGATTTATTTTGGGAATAAAAATCATTAGATCATAATTGTATAATTGTGCTTGTACTCTTACATTTAAATATATAATGCATTCAGTGGTTACATTGATTATTATTTTTTTAACAAAAAATCATGATTGTCTTAATATTTACTGTTATCGTTTAATTATTGATTGATAATGTGGTCCCCTAGTAGATCTGACAATTTTTTCCATAAGATCTTAATGATTCCATTGTTTTCATTAGATATGAATTATAAAAAATAAACTTTATCTACATAGTGTATGCATGCCAAATTTTGTTAAATACATATGCCCAGTCAGGACCGTAAATAGAAATTTTTTAAGTAACGGCAAGGTTAATTTTGCCATCCCTTCTCTCACTTTCTCCCTCTCCCCTATAAAAGTCAGCAGTTTTACAACAGTATTTTATTTCCAAATCAATATTATCATATCTTTATATAAACTCAATATATTGATTGAATTAAAAGCAAAATAAAAAAATGCTGTGTGGAAACACAACTTTCATTTACCTCTCTACTTTGAATAGAAATTATTTTCTGGCATTGTTGGGCTATTATAAAATTTTTGAAGTGCATTTTTAACCAAGCTAAAGCTTAAAATCTAAGAAATCATTAATACCATTAAAATAACAAAAATCCTATTTATGCTAACGGTGGATTATGGATTTTACGACTATTTGTTATTAATCTGTTATTTTCCATTGCAAAGTTTACTAAAATGGAATTACGAGATTTGCATCGCATGTCATAGATAGGTCAAAAGTTGTCACCCTAATTGTAAGTGGATAATGTTTGGATTTCACAAAGGGAAAGTTCATCAAATTATTCATTGATTTAATTTTCTAAAAGGTTACATGATGATTTTTTGGAATAAATCGACAATAAATACCTAATTATTTAAATATAACATCAAATCTAGAGTAATTAAGCTACAGTAAATATATTTAAGGTTATAAACATATCCAAGATATATTTTATATTTTTCACTTCTTTCACACAAGTACAATGAAATAGTATTTTAAGCAATGTCATCGCCTTTTTAATAAAATTAAAAATTATAAAAAAAATAAATTGAAAATTAAAATTTCATTTAATTTTCTTAGAAACATGTGATTTACGTTAAATAATGTTAGGGGTGGTTAGGGTTTTTTCAGAAATTATTATTTACATTTTTTGCCCACTCTCCGTTACTTTCTAAAACTTTATTTCTTAAATAATTTTTTTTCCCATAAATTTCTTCGCTTTTCAACAATATTATATACTTATAAGACAATAATAATATAATATACGTATTATATACCTTCTGACTATTATTTCCGGAGATTCATTCTACACCTATAATAATAAGCATTTTTCTTTTTTTCTTCTTTATTCAATAATCAAATTCTTTCAAAAGTTACATTCAGCTTTTTTTCATAATTTCCAACATTGAGAGATAGTTAATTTTTTAAAACAAACCAAATTAAAGGTACTTGAAGGGAAGACAAATGATTACTTAATTATACATTAATACATTGAGTTTAATCAAAATTTGTTAGAGCAGTTTTTGAGAAAATTGTAAAAATGTGTTACATCAATGATATTAAGTGTCACTTCCTTCAATCTTAAATATGCAATTTCAGTTTCGTACGACTTTATGTTTTTGAGATAGTCTTCACAGACCATTTTGCGAGACAATGTTATTTGGACTCAGAAGACCTCAAAACATGTATCTCTATTGAAAACTCGGTTTCAAAAATTTTCACGATTGCAATACTTTCGATTGCAGTGGCCTAACTGAAAATATGAATTAATGACCTCAAAACAAGAAAAAACATTCCTATGAAGGTATGTTCGCAAACGCTTTGTTTAGGAGATTCCATTAGATTTCACACCCTAAGATTTTCATTGTTATGAATTATTTATGTTATGTTAAGTAAATAAAACTTATTTATTTTTTTCAACTACTTAATTAATTAAAAGTAAACATTAAATTCATATTAAATGTTGTTCATAGTGATTTCCTTGAGTATTAAGACAGGCTCGGCATCTTTCTTCAACAGCTGCAGTGGCAGAACTGCACTGGATATGTGTTATTGTTTCACAAGATTCAATTATCCTTCTTTCTAAGGAATTAAGAATATCTCCTAAACAAAGCATTTGCGGACATGCCTTCAAAGGAAATTTTTTTCTGTTTTGAGATCCTTAGTTCATTTTTGCAGTTTGGCCACTTGACCCCGAAAAACCCTGTATATTTCATATATAGGTGAGTGAAAGTAAAAACCGGACAATGAAAAAATAAGAAATTAATATTTTTTGTTGAACTAAAAATATGTCACTCAAAATGTATTCTCCCATAAATTCTGCTGACCTGGGTGGTACCACCTTTGCCCCTCCCTATTTTTGACCCTGGGCCTACTTAGCTCAAAATGGAAATACCAAAAATTATTGAAGTTTTCAACTTGGTTACCACCTTTGGTTTGGATTATAAATTGTAATTCCACCATTGTAAAAAGTGTTTACCTGGCATGCATATCACTGATATAAAGATTAACTACCAATGTTAAAACACTGACTTCCTCATTAAAACATTCTAAGGAAAAGACTTAGATTATAGAGATAATCTCATGGCATAGACAAGCACTCGCTGACTGAAGGTTAAAAATATATTTTTGGACTTCGAGATCTGAAACTTAAAGATCAGTTGAAAACTGCAATTCTAAAATTTATCTTGATTACAATACTTCCCTTACACCGTAGTAATGGTAAGAATAAAATAACAATAATTACGAAAAAAAATTTAAATAATTAATTCTTTTTTATCGGAACTTAGTCTAACTTTGAAAAATTGATAACTGTTTTGTAGTTACTTAAAATAAATTACATTCTCTATATTGGATATAGAGAATTACATTACACATTTCCTTAAACATTTCTGCTGCCCACCCAATTGAAAGATAATTAAATTTCTGGCCAAAAAAATAAATAAAATGATCTAAATTAGGCTGATAATAGCTTAGGCATACTAAATAATTTTTATATTGGACTTTCACCAAAAGAAGTAAGAGAGGTGATGTTAATGGACACAGAAGATATTTAAAAATACAAATTTTGGCAAATTGGTAACTGAAGTATTGAACATTTATTTTTTTGCAAGTGTTGTATATAATTTCTTTATCTCTGGCTTCACTGAAAGAACATTTCTTAAAGTATTAATCCTAGATTTCTAACAGAGTATCTAGAAGGTTGGTGATATCTAGAAAAGCAGTGTAACAAAAAATGCTCAGAATGTTAGGATAAACATTGCAATATACAACTTTGTAAAACTACACAAAGAAAACATATTCTTTCTGTTAAAACATTGTCACATTTATAAGTTCTGCTATTTCTTAACAGGTTGCAGATAAAATCAGTTTCTCTTTTGTTTCAGACAAAGGAGTTAAAATCAGCAATAACCTAATTTTATCCAATAATGTCTGTTACAATTCGAAGTTGTGGGATAGTTCACCAACTGGTTTCCTAACTTTAAATTTATGTCAGAAGACTTATCCTCCTGTGCCAGACACATCCTCTTTTAAGTTGTTGCCCGATCCTTTATTAATAAATTTTTTAAAAAAGTTATTGGTTGGGTATGATTGTGGCTAGATCACCTGCAAGTGCAGAACATTGTCTAAAAATAGTACTTACTTATCTAGTAAGGCACATATATTTTCTTTATTTTTGTTTTGTAGTACACCCTACTATAAACAGAGCCAGGTCTAGATTTGAATGTCCGCGAACACTTTCGGTGCAGGCTTCATTTTATGAAAATATCTTGCCTAGAGGTGCATATTTCTTTTAAAAAAAATTATACTGTTTTTTTCCTAACCATTCACTAAACAACTTCTAGTTGGCCAATTTGAAAACAAAATATACCCCTTTAAAGCTAAAAAGGTACTGAAAAGAACTATCACTGGTGAGAGTTGGAAATGTCTAACTTCACAATATACAAGGTTTTTAAAATTATGGGCCTGGGTTCTTTTTAGTCTGACTGGACCGAAAATTTATTTTCTCTTAAGTAGGGTCAGAAAACCCTTCAGTAAGATTTCCGACCTGGATTCTTTTGTATTATAGTTTTATTTACTACTTTTTAATACTTTGTACTGTCATTGTAAGGAGGATACTGATAAAAGTATAATAAAAAAAAAAATTTAAATATTTTTACTTTTAACATAAAAGAAGAATGTTAATGAATTATGATTAATAAAAATGTAAACAAGAATGCAGTTCAAATATGAGACTAACTGAAATAGAAACTTAATATTTTTACCAAAAATGAAAAAAAAAATACTAAGTAATTTATGCTTGTTTATTTCATTATTTTGATAATTTTATTCTATATCTTGCAATTCATCTTCCCTTCTCTCTCCCCAAATAATATAAATATATTAATATTTAAATATATTGTTAATATAAGTTAAGGTTTGGTATTTCTTTATTAATTTTTTTATTATTTTTTATCAGTTTATAGTTAGAAAGTTCAAATTATTGGTTATTTTTATGACGTTAATTTATTCATGAAATAAAACTTGAAAGGTTTATTGATACTACTTTTTTTTTTTTCGTTTCCTCCTTTTGACCCTGACACCAATCCCACATCTAGATTTAATAAACTATGGTATTTTTCAGTCCAAAAATGTAAAAAATAAATTAACGATTGAATGGCATTTGTGTGTCTTTTCTATGTGTGAATGGTACCAGTATGCTTTGGATTAAAAATTTTAACATTTGTCATTATGTCGTTTTCATTACCTTTCATTCAAGTAGATTTTATTTAAACTAAAGGTGGTTACATTTACATTGTCCTTATTACATGAAATCATGTAATTTCATCTAAGATTCTGCCGTTTGCAATGTAAAGAATAAATATTCCGTAGGATAATAATTATAATACTTCCTTTCAATTAAATAATTTATCTTTACTTTAACAGTAATTTAATAATAACTGTTTGTTTTTCATTTTCGTGTAATATTTTATATTTATACTTCCTTTCCTAAAGGATTTTATCTGATTAGTTTATTTTTAGTTGATTATTCATTATGTAAAATATAATTCATAGTCA